TCTCTTGTTGGGAAGCACCGACAGCGGCGAAGTAGGCAATTACCTGGATTTTTTAGAAATCATTTGAAGACCATTTTCCTAGACTGGAATGGCGTATTTATGAAATATCTATCTATCCATCAAAGCGTTTGTGAAATTCACTTCTTCGAAAATTCAGAAATGTTTTTAAGTTCTAACTCACTTTCTTTGTGTTCTCAGTCTTTCCGGCTCCAGATTCACCAGTGATAAGCATAGATTGGTTCTCCTTATTGATAAGCATATTACGGTAGGCTTCATCGGATACGGCAAACAAATGGGGTGGCATTTCCGTTCTGAAATTAAAATATGTTAGTGTTAACGCTTCATTCAGCTGGGTAATTGCGTTACCTTCGCTTTCCCATGAACATTTGGGCAACGGAATCGGTATAGATCGGTAGTCTTTTGTACGGATTGATTACCACACAGAAAAGACCGGAGTAAGTCTAAAGCAAGTTTCACTTCAGGAAATTCTTCGAAAGTATATTACAAGATCTTACAAAAATCTTCCGCCTATGTCATTGTGAGTTTATGGGATTTCCCGAGTTCTCTAAGGCTAGAGTTTCAAATACTCTTTCTTAAATTACCAATTTGCTGTATATTCATCTTCGAAAATTTCGCAGCCTATTACATGAAAAAAGGTTCCTTTCATATTTCACTCGTGAACACATTAAAATTTCTTTTAGGTTCTTCTAAGCTTTCCTGATTACTGTAGCTTACTTAGGTTCCAAAAACTGACCGATGTCAACAAAAAATTTAAGCAATTTTTATTTTAGTTTGTCAAAAAAAGTTCCCCTGATTTAGATTACTCTGTACTCTGACCCAATGACAAAAAAATTTCACTGCATGTTCCAAAAAAAGTTCTCACATATTATCGTGAATATGTTGAGTTGAAGAATTTCCTAACTCCTAACAATTTTCCTTGATTACGTAGCTTACTATACGCTTAACTGCTTACAAAAATATTTCATTGTTTCATATCCCGGGAAATTGCTTCCCGCATTACAGCCGTGTATCACTCTAGGTTCTATGTCTAAACTGTCCAAGCAAATTAGCATTGTTTCCATTCCGAAAAGATTTCTATTTTCTCTATGACTGTCGACCTACTCTTGTTATCCCAAAAATTAGAAATGAAAGAAAAAGGGAGGAAAGTCATAAATTTGTGGTCGTCGATGATCACTCAGTTATAGTTCCATCCCAATCCGATTGGCCTAATCGTTTGGCTAATTCATTGATATAATTTAAAGCGAAAAACTGCATAAACCGAGCGTCTCCCCTCTCTCCCATTCTTACAAATTCTACCGTAACCTTTGGCAATGTTCTTTGTTACTGTAGTTCTAGTTATTGTTTAAACAATAGAAGATCTATCCCATCGCTCTCGAACTCTCAAGCTCTCAACGGATTTTCTCGAGAACTTTGCGCAAGGATGTGTCCGCCTCCGCACTCTGTACAAACAAACCAGCAGTGGAGAAAAAAAGTGAGCAAAGTGGCTGGGGGAAGAAGCTACCATGAGATTTTGCAATTTTTAGAGATTTCGTTACAAAGTTCTTGGGTTGGGAGTTTGAGTAAGAAAGAAAAAACTAACATAAATAAGCATAGATGAATATCGTGCTCGGAGATTATGCAGTACAGAAGCGTCGTTAA